ATATTTGGGGTATTTTTTTTCTTTTTCTTTTTCTTTTCTTTTTTTTTTGCTAATTTCAGGTGAAAGGGTAAGTGTGATCCCACTTACTTCATCTTGGCCAGAAGTAGCTATATTTGAATGTAAAAATTTGGCAACTGCTGTAACACTATTAAGCCACTATTTTTCACCCTTGGAGAAAAAAGGGATTCAGATTTACCTTGACGAATAGCACCTGTACTTCTTGTAAATAACACTAAGTTTCCTAAAGATGAACATACTGTATGCCATGTTTTATCTTGTCTAGCGAGTGGGTTACATGAATAAAGTGTTTATTGTTGGATCTGGAAACTCTGTAGCTTCCTGTTTTTTCTGTTCTTCTTTACATCAGAATACAAAAGAATCCTGCCTTGGGATGGAAAATATAAACCCCTTCTTTCTACGGGGCGTACTCATGGAATGGCCTGGTGCTGCCCAAATTTGTAATTCCTGCCCCCACCTGTACTTAGGACCGGCTAGAAGGAAATCTCCACCCCCACATCATTAGCTCAGCCTCTCCCCACCACCAGCCCACCCCAGGCAAGCCGTTGCTAGTACTAAGTAGGAAAATGTCTGAAATAAATTTTGATTGGTTTAATAAAAATAAAGCCTGTCCAAGTCCATGAAGAACTCAGCACATGTACTCCCTAGGGTGTCCTGCTATCCTGTAACGCAGCTGACCAGACCCATGAAGTGCTTTGTCTCCAAGTGGGAAGCTATCAAAGTTTGGTCCTATAATTATTTGCCTTCTTGTTTATGGTGTGAAGGTCACGGGCCATCTCTGATGTTATAAATATGCAGGATCCCATGCCGCACTATCTGTTATTATGTCAGTTAAGCTTTCCAGCTTTAAAATTAAACCAAGCTTCTCCATCCATTACAATCCTCTGGATAGGGACTGGATGGCTGCCGATGAATTTTTAATATTTTCTTTCCATTTTCAAGGGCCGTGTCCTCTCCAGTGCTCAGCCTTTGCACGCAATGCTTAGCCTTTGCACGCAAACTGTTCGCATTCACCTTTGTGCTGTGTAAGGTCACCAGCTTCTCCCTAGAGGCCTCACAGTTGCCAGGAGCCCCTGAGATTCAGCATGGATTCTAACCTACCCTAACAGTTATGTAGCCAAAGAAATTATGATTGGGGTAAGATTTAGATGGCAGGACAGTGTTCTAGATTTAGAATATGCCCCTAAACCAGAGAGATGAGTCAGAGATGTTGTAGAGTACCTCAGCAATGTGCTTAAGTGGTAAGAGCCCTGGGCAAGGCAGCCAGAAGACCAAGAGCCCAGCTTGGCCTGGCCCCTATGGGACAATGGATTGCCTGAGGACAAGGGCTGGGCTTTATTTCTTTTCATTTCCCACTGTGCTTTGCACAGTCTTATTCACAGAGTAAGTGCTCAATAAAAGGTGTCAGATGTTTTGGTCACCAAAAACCACATGAGATGAAACATGCATGTAAAGTCAGCTTTGTGTGTAGGTCAGGAGAAAACACTAATCTAGGTATTTCTGCTTGTATGTTTCATACAGAAAAGGAAGTACACATTGGAGATAAGACTCATAAACAATTGGGAAGTGTAGTAGAGCCAGTCAGTAAAAAACTGGCGATCCTACTGTTTTCCCTTCATTTAAAGATTCTGAAACCATTGATAAGCCCTGCATTGAAGGCCTCTGTTCACTAATATCCATTTCCTAGTTCACAAGTGTGGAAATCAGAAAGACATTGTAGGAGACCAGAGCTTTGCTTCTTTGGAAAGAGTCTAAGTAGATTCTGGCTGCCTGCACAGTGAGATCAGTGACATTGCTGCTTTCAACCTTAGAGCACCCCAGAAGCAATAGAAATACTGCAAGGAGCAGGGAAGAGGGTGGTAATAAAACACTCCAACATCTCACAATGTCATGGGTGAACATGACATGTCCCTCCTTTGAAGCCTGCACGGCAGCTCTTCCTGAGAAACACGACGGGGAAGAGGTCAGGAGTGGGTCACTACTGCGCCAACACTTCCTATCCGTGGCCCACTATGTGCTCTGTGAGCTGCCTGTGACCACCACCCGCCAGAAGTTTGCCATCTAATTATCCCACGAGCCTGATAATTCCTAAGGAGATGCACATTTTAACTTCACTCTGTATTGGCTCTTGAGAGAAAAATGAGAAGCAAACACCTGTTCTGAAACAGATGAAGCTGGCTGTGTCAGTGATCTTCGTTCAACATAACTTCTCTGTCCCCAAGGAGGCAGCGAGCCTGAGCTGCAAGCTTTATGCACCGCACTGGGGACGATCTGACATATGATTGGACAGGAAAGGAGGTGACAGACAGTTCATCGGGGAATCAGCTATAGAAGTCGTAACCAAGATCGACAGCACGAGAAAGAATACTGTTTCTAGTGAAAACAAAAGACGGCCACTGAGAGTACAATGATTATTAGTCCTAGGCAAAGTCATGTGGGATATATTTAGAGAATGGCTGGACCCTTTTCAACTAAAATCAATAGAGAACTCTACAACCAACCTTGTTTCTCAGCTTTTCCTTCCTAAAGTCTTAGCACTGGTGCTGGAGCCTTGATCTGTGCTCTGACAGTGATTGAGTGCCGCTGGTCCTGAACCAGGATTGGTTTCATAAGGTAGTTTGGTGTCATGAAGCGGCTAAACTTCCACTTGGTGTGTTGATCCCAAAAGTTGGTGTTGTCAAGGGAGCCTCTGTCTTGGCTCAGAACACCAGTTCTTTGCCGGCCCCAGAAAAGGTGAGCTTTTTGCACTGCTGTTCAGTAGAACACCAGAGTTTTGAATAGGTGAGTCAAAGCAACATAATAATAGTGACACCAGCCGCAAAGTAAGTGCCAAGGATAGAATTTCACTGAATCCTTTTATATTGTTCATTTACCATTGAATATAATTTCTAACATGATGATGATGATATTAGTATTATTAAAGGTGGTAGTTCTTAGGAGCTATCCCACCCAGATATAAATCTAACAGCCAAAAATACATGACGGTGTGAGCACCTGCTAACGTCCATGAGCCCACAGGTGACTCTCTGTACCAGAGATTACAATTAGCTCTAATTCACTGAGCTGGAGATCTGTTTCATTATTTCCTTTAGATTTCTGAAAGAAGTCCCTTCTACTGTAACAGTGCCAGGCACCTGGTACCTTCAACAAATTAATTAAAGCACTGAAGTGTTTTTTAAAATCACCAGCTACAGCAGTAAAATGGCAAACAGTGATTGTGGGGGAAAAACATATCTGCCTTTGGTCTTAGGCTGTGTCTTAGAGTTTAATGCAGGCTGTAAAATCTCCCACCTTTCGTTGCTGATGTTTAGTTGGTAGTTGTATTTGTTTTGTTTTCGGCACTGAGAATGTCGAGAGAAAGTACATATGCAGGTTGATTTGCCTACAAAAAGCAAGTGAGTTTTCTGGAATACTATGTACTGTGCTATCATAAAAACAGTTTCTACGAAGCAGTGATTTCACATTCTGCTATTCCATTAAGTCAGAATAATTTAAGATATGCCATATGTGAAGTTATATGGCAATCTCTGATAATTTTTTAAGAAGAGGAGGAATTAATTAAAATTAGAATGGCTACCCCTTACATTAACCACCTGAAGCATTTAGCCACTTTTCCTCTTAAAAGATGAGGCTGCTTGCGTATTCACAAGCCCGTGGCTCCACCTTGTCTCAGTATACCAGGTACTGAAGGGGCTACCATTTTCTGCTTTGTTTTGTATGTTGCTCCCTGGTATTTTGGAGAAAAATAAAGGGGAAGAGGATGAAAACATCTGAAATATTAGCGGATGCATGATTGTGTTGATCCGTGTCCATGTCGTGTGTCTTCTGGAGTGTGACCTACTAGCGCGAGAGAAAGAATGTGCTTTTTCGCTTTTTTGATGTAAGCCCATTGTCAGTGGCAGGGGTTCTATACTGCCTGTAGGTGCTGGGTCTGTCTGCACCTCCCACAGAGAGACCCGAGGAAGACGCCTGCCCACCCACAGGTCTTGGACTGTGTTGGAGTGCTTTGGACCATGGGGGAGTGCTTTCTTCTGCGCTGTTTTTAGGGACCTTGCCTTTTCATTTTTTGAGCTTCAACCTAAAAATCACCTCTCCTTAGCCCCCCAAGCTCCGTCCACAAACCCAGGCAGAGCTCCTTACCCGTCTTCTGTGGCTCCACAGCCCCTCACATTCACCTGGAAGGAGCCGAGTCACAGAGGGCTTCGCGGGCCATGGTAAAGTGTGTGGACTTTCTTTTTACTGTGAGAGAAAGTGAGCAGAGGGGTCCACACAGGTCATGACCTGCCTCACGTGTGCAAAGGTCATTCTGGCTGTGGCGTAGTGAAGGAGGAGAGGAGGAAGCAGGGCTTCCATCAGAGAGTAAGAGGGGATGGCGGCTCAGACTACACCTTTAGCCGTGGAGGAGGCCTCCACTCACATTGGAGGGACATGTAGCAGGAGACCTCAAAAGACCTTGGTGCTGTAGGAATTTAAAGTCAGGAGTCACTAGAGCAGAGGTGATCAGGGCTGTGACTTGGATTTGACATTGAAGAAAAGGGTCACTAGAGCAGCCTCTAAAGCGAAGAAAGGAGCATCGAGGTGGTATTCTCTGGTGCCCAATTAAAAGGTTGCTAGATGATTCGAAGTCTGCCTTCTATCTGGATTGATTGATTTCCCATTAGACATTTTCAAAGAGCAATCTCCTTTAAGAAAAAAAAATGCTTCTGTCTCTCCAAGCAAGCCTAGAGGAAGTGTCAGAAGCTGGAAGGAATTTGGCAATTTTGTCCATGATCCTTTTTCCGCTTACAACCACGTTAACGGAACAGTAGTTTTAGTTCCTGTCTGTTTTTTTTCTCTTCAATCCTTAGAAACGACAAACCGTGGGCAATTGCTTCTCTGCCACCTGCTCTTGAAGAACTCCTTGTGTAGTAAGAAGCCGTTGTCACATGTGTGCTGTGTGTTTTTTTCACAAGTGACTGAGGTTTGGTTTTCCTTTTTCCCAGGATACCCAAAGCAGAGGACTGTGGCAGCTCGAAACGGGTTTCCACCCAAGCCGGACCCGCAGGCCCGGGAGGCTGAGCGGCAGCTGGTGCAGCGGCTGAAGGAGAGGTGCGAGCGGCAGGCCAGGCAGCTGGGCACCGCGCAGGGAGAGCTGAGGAGGGCGGTCTGCGGCTTCGATGCCCTCGCCGTGGCCACGCAGCACTTCTTTAGAAAGGTGAGGCGCCGTTTGGTGAAGGTCCAAGGGCATTTTGGCAGGGGGAGAGGGTGGTGATGGTGACGGTGTTGTACCCAGGTGAGTCAGGGAATGCGCCATACTCTGAGGATGAACTGGGAGTCCTGTATTGTGCCGGCGACCGAGAGGTGGCTAACGCCCAAAATTCTCTTGGCCCTGAAGAAAAAGTTAGGTGGTCCTTTATACTCTAGTTTTAAAAGGGAGGGGGAACTTAGCTGAAGCAAACTTTTCACAGAAGCAGAGTCAGCAAAAAGTTAAAAGATCAACTGGTACATGAGAAATAAAACAGTGCCAGGTGCCAGGGGTAAAGCTGTCATGAAAGACAACTTATAGATAATGGGGCTCTGGCGCTCACTGCACCTGCATCCCCAGGCTCTCCTGGTACCACTTAACTCGGCCTCTTATCAACAAATGCCTTCCTGGAGGTGCCCAGTGTCAGCCTGCCCCAGCTACATACTATAGTTACATACTGAATGGTGGGACAATAACTAAAATGACGAAGCCAAGATGGAGTCTGTCCGGCTCAAGGAGCTAACATGAAGCCTGAACAGCTTTTAGTCTGAGAAACGGAGAGTTCATTTTAGCTGGCAAAAAGCAGGGTATCACAACGGTTCTGTGTGTGTTGCTGTTTTGGGTTTGAGTTTTGATCAGAGTGGAGTTTGGATTTTCAGGAGTTCAGGCAGAATCTCCTGAGGCATCCCACCATGTTTTGGGAGCCACGTTTATCCTTCGGTGTGAAAGAAATGAGTCCGGGAAGAATCATTAATCATCTTCCTGCCAAAAGAGGAAATTATTTTAAAAGAAAGGAAAGGATATGCAGGACCATTTTTGAACGTGAGATGTTTGAAGCAATGGAGCATGTGGTTGTTTGCATTTTTGAGGGAAGATGGTCACTTTATGCCATTTCTGCTCACAGCGCATCAAAGGGAGACAGGGCCACAGTACCGTGCACCTCGGCTGTTGATGGGCAATGGAACATGTGTGGCCTGGGACTCTTCTCAGGGCCATGCTTCTAGTTCCCAGAGCAGCATGGACTGAAGTTCAGATTCTCCCTGCACCCTCGATTGCTCTGAAAATGCAGGGGGGCGGTGGTTTCTTCTCAGCAAATGTCTGTAGCTCCTAGGGCTGTGTGAGCCCTGAATCTGTTATTAACCATGGAGCAGTTAAGCTTCCCAGCCTCTCCGCAGGGAACAGAGGTGGGAGCCTAGTGTCCCACTGCATTTGTGCTGCACCTTGAAGTCGCTAAGGCATGCTTGGGGGAGAAAGAGCACAAACATTATAAATGCACATTTCTGAGATTCATATGTGGACCTTCTGGTATCTATACATGGGAGGAAGTAAAACTGCTGAATATATGCTCTTCAAATAAGAAAGTGACCTAACAAAATAGCTGGCCAATTTGAAAAGAAAAGCAGAAGAATGTGAAGTGGCTCCATGTCCCTGGCAGCTTTTTTTTTTTTTTTTTGGCCTTTTACACCATCCTGCACCTGCACCTTCCCCTCTACTCCAATATAGAAGCTTGAGCTGCTTTTTGTTGTTGTTGTTGTTTTTGTTTGTTTGTGTAAAGCTTTCAACAGAAAGAGTCATTTATCAATCTGTTGTGGAAATAAATGATAAGATGAAGGGATGGCCATGAAATTTCCATTTTACCAATAGCCTCCTCCTCAACTAGAACTTTAACCCCAGCAGGAAGTGGCCAGTGTAAATTTCATACCTTCCTTTCTGGTTTAGTAATGATGCATGAAGCGACCGCATAATCTTGCATAAAGTGGCCGAACACCCACCTCTGTAAATTAAAGTTACAATCACATCTTCCCAAGAAGCCCAAGAGGCCTGACTGGCCATGGTCAAGATGAGCAATTTTGTAGTAAGGGAAAGTGATTTGTCATATTTCCCATGACTGGAAGTTGTACACAAAGAGGAAAACAGGGCTTCAAACTTCTTGAAGTTCAGTGATCCTGTTTATATAGTCATGCTGCCTGCTCTGGGAGTCTGCCTTCCATACGCCATCCATAGAGTCAGAACAAGCCCTTTATAAAGGTTTCATATGAGGACAAAACAATAGATATTGATATAACATATTGGTAATATGTTTGTTACAGAAGTTGGAGTTTTCTTTTTTGTTTTTTTCGAGACAGACTCTTGCTCTGTCACCAGGCACCAGGCTGGAGTGCAGTGGCGCGATCTCGGCTCACTGCAACCTCCGCCTCCAAGGTTGAAGCTATTCTCCTGCCTCATCCTCCGGAGTAGCTGGGACTACAGGCATGTGCCACCACACCCAGTTAATTTTTGTATTTTTTAGTAGAGAGGGGGTTTCACCATGTTGGCCAGGATGGTTTCCATCTCTTGACCTCATGATCCACCCACCTTGGCCTCCCAAAGTGCAGGGATTATAGGCATGAGCCACCGTGCCTGGCCAGAAGTTGGAGCTTTTAGGCCCCACTTTTGGGATCATGGCAGGGGAGAGGGTAACTGTGCCAAAATTAGGGGGCAGCTCCCTGTAGTTATGCACCTCCATGCTCCAGGAAAATTCCTTGTTGGCCTGTAGACCATGAGTTTCACTTCTCTGTAGCATGCACGTGGCTGTCAAGTCAAAGACCAAGAGCGGCTGGCAGGTGATTTGCAGGCGTCTCCATTGGACCTCCCTGCTACTACAGCTGCACTTGGCATGACATTTCAGCAAGATGGATGGTGGACATGAATTTCATTTTCTTTCCAGTAAATCACAACCAGTAACTCCACACAGGCTTCAAAAATGACCATGGCATTTCACCTCCCACACAATATGTTTTTTTCTCTGTCTTTCTGATCTCTACCCTCTCTTTCTCTCTCCCTCTAGATAAATGCCAGAAGAAAAAATAGAAGATAAAATGTTTTTTAAAAAAACTAAAAGTCTTAATTGAGCATAATCAGTGGCTTTTATGCAGGCCTTCATGTGTGCCACATAGTTTAAGGTGATGGATTTGAGAATTTGCTAGTAATACCAAGTTAGACCAGGAGGTGTGGCATGGGTGGAAAACCTGGGAGAATAAAGGCAAGGCAGCCTTGGAACCTTCAACAATGGAGCCCTCTGAAGTTACCCAGGCAGGAGAACCCAAGGTGCCCCGTGTCACACTCGTGGGAAACCCATGCACTAATATTGTGAATGAGATTTGGTCCAAGCCGAGCATGGCAGCTTTGAGGAAGCATGACCCGTATAGCCTGAAAATGCAGTCTCTTTACTCTACTGGTTAGAAGGCCCTGCCAGAATTACATCCTGTAAGGAATGCACATGTATCTTTTGTACACTAAAGCATATTCATCTGCAAAGCATGCTCTGGTGGAGAGAGGGCACAGTGCTAACCCACAGTCAGTTCCATCTCTGCCTCCATCCAGTGGTGAGACCTTGAGCAAGTTCCTGCCCCTCTGTGCACTTCGTCATCATCACCAGTAGGAATAGCATCCCTGTCCTTTCTCTACTTCCCCCCAGCTGAGTCACCACTGATCAGTTAGCTTTGAGTCTCAGTTCTCTCCATTTAAAATGGGATTCATAGAATTCATTATAAGTCTTCACAAAGTCATTGTGAGAATGTAGTGAATTAATGTGCAGAGGCAGTTTGTAGAAATGGGTCTCGCTATGTTTCCTAGGCTGGTCTCAACTCCTGGCCTCAAGCGATCTTCCTTCCTCAGCCTCCTAAAGCACTGGGATTACAGACGTGAGCCACTATGCCCAGATGGCGAAGGCCCTTTTTAGATAGATATTCAGTCAGGCATTCTTTTCTGAGTACAACAAAATCTGTCAAGATCTACCTCAAGGATTTTACTCTGAAGTGAGATAAAGTGAAAACACAGTCAGAGCCACTGGTATTTCATTCTATATGTCCATAAAGGGCTTGGCCTGGAATGTACCTTAAAAATAATTTTAGAAATAATTTTCAGTGGCCAGGCTGCTTGAGCCTGGCCAACATGTTGAAACCCCATCTCTATCAAAAATTTTAAAATATATATATATAATTTTAGTATTTAAAAAAAATTTTTTTGTTTATCAGTTTTATTACTGATATACAAAAAAATTTTTTTTTAAATACTAAAATTATATATATATATATATATATATATATATATATATATATCCATATCCTAGTGTGGTGGCACATACTTGTAATCCCAGCTACTTGGGAAGCTGAGGCAGAAAAATTGCTTGAACCCAGGAGGCAGAGGTTGCAGTGAGCCCAGATTGTACCACTGTACTCCAGCCTTGGTGACAGAGGGAGATGCCATCTCAAAAAACAATTTTTTAAATTAAAGTGAAAATAATGTTCTAGTATAGCTCTTCAGTTGCTGCTATATTTTTTTTCCTGAATGTGCTGATGCCATTAATTTAAGTACTGTTGGAAGTAAGTTTCACCACTAGAAAAAAAAAAAAAAAAAAAATTCAAAGCCCAGATAAGAATCTCCCTTCTCTGCCCTGTGCTTTACAGCTCCTGGCAGAGTAGCTGTGAAAGTTGTCAGCTCTGACACAGCCTCAGCCCAGCGTTCAGGGATTTGGAGATGCCACACTTCGGTGCCAACTGCAGCTTCATGCTTGCGCTGGTTACAGGCAGCTCTGCCCCTGCAGCAAGGCATGTTCTTCACCAGAGGCCAAACAGATCTCCTAAATCCGTGCTCCCAGACCCGCAGGTGGTGTAGTAATGAGTGTAACTCTCAGGGACGTGCGCTTCTCAGGGTCAGGTTGAATGGTGTGGTAGTGCTCTTGCTGTGTGGTTCCCCAGAATGCTACTCTTTAGCATCCCCTGGTGGCTCATCTGTGAAACAATCCACACAATGGTCCTCACCCTGCAGCATGGAGTTGTATACACATTACCTTTGAGGGCACATGTATTTTCATGTTACTTTTAATAAGATTTATTAAACTTACTATTTTTTGTATCCTTTTCTTGTTGACTTTGTGAATGTGACAGTAGATGATGGTTTTGAATTTTTTTTTACATGTGATTGAATAG